CATCATACGACACAACAGGAGACATCCAAACATCAGTGTAGATAATTTCAAGTGGAGCAGTGGAAACAACAGTAGATAAAGAAAAGGGGAGTTTATGCATTTTATTGATAGCACATGAGTTACAGTGAGAAATAGAATCCGTAGCAACTACTTGACCAAGATGTGAAAGTAAAGATTTTAAAATTGGTTCAGCTGGATGACCAAGGCGTTGGTGCCAATTTATTAACGATACTCTAGATACTAGACACGAGTGAAGTACGCCGGGATTCCACTCATAGACACCATTACTGGCTGGACCCTGAAAGAGAGTATCCCCCGTGCGAAGACCCTTCATAACAAAACAAGTGGGTAAGAATTGGATAGAAACATTATTTTCAAGACACAGTTTGGAGACAGAAATAATATTACGGGTAATAGACGGAACACACAACACATGAGATAATGAAAGGGAGTGAACAAATGTGGGAAGAGAAAGAGAGCCCGTATGGGTAATAGGAAGAGATGTACCATCACCAATGACAACTTCCTCAGTTTCATCGTATGGACGGTGCAGCGCAAGATTAGCCAAATCACTAGTGATGTGATGAGACGCTCCACTGTCCATTAGCCACGCTCCGGTGGTCGGTGCTGCAGTAGCCATTCGTACTTGCGGTTTATTGTTGTCCCGGGGAGGAGTGACATGTGGGAATTGCTGGCGGAACAGATTGCATTGAGAGACAACATGACCTTGGGTATTGCACCACTGGCACTTGCCGAGGTAGGCTTTCCGTGGGCGACCACCATTGGAGGAAGACTGGGCCGGTGCTGATGACGACGCCGCTGTCATATTCCACGGCTGTGTACTGAGTGCTCCCCCAGGTTGCTGCCAGGTGTGCTGTTTCGGACCATGATGGTTTCGGGCAGCCGATTTTGTCGAGACGGCATGGGCCGAGACAGGGGCAGCAACGGGTTGAGGAAGAATCAGCCTGAACATGATCTCAACTTCTTTGTTGATAAGTCTCTCGTGTAATTCCGCAAAGGAAATTACAGTCTCACGGGCATCAACCACCTCACGAACAGATTTGTAGGAATCGTCTAGGCCATCAAATATTTTGTCAATTATGTCTTCTGTATCCATAGGTTTGCCAAATAGGTTTAATTGATCCGTTAGATTTTTGATAGCTTGCATATATTCCGAGACACTCTCTACACCTTTGGTGAGATGTTTGAGTTGTTCCTTGATTTGTTTGATATGGCCACGTGTAGGTTTGGCGAAGGTGTTCGTCAGAAGATCCCACGCCTCTTTCGTGGTGTTTGCCTGTGAAACAAGCGGGATGAGGTTAGGTTCAAGAGTCCCGAGGAGAGCACCAAAAAGAAGACGATCCTGACGGATCCAAGTGAGTAGGGCAGTGGCTTGATCAGCAGGAGGGGCCGGAAATTTTCCATCAACATATTTGAACAGATCATATCCAATAAGAATGGCAGTGATCTGAGTTTTCCAGGAGAGGTAGTTCTTCTGGTTGAGTTTCAGACAGTTTGAGAGAGTAACCAGAACAAAAGGTTTGGAGGGTTCTTGATCATTGGTTAGAGTTTTTGATTGGACCTCATCAGAGGTGGAGGAATTTTCGAATGCCATTTAGAGAGAATGATTGATGATGAACACAAGGAGGAAGATGGAGTTTTTACGATCTCTGCTCTGATACCATGAAAGGGAAGTATATTGATTGAATAATAATGAGAGATACAGGATTGATATATATAGTACAGGGGTGAAAGCTATACAAGGGAAGTAGCCTATACAAGGAGAGTAGCATATACAAGGAAGGAGAATAAGGAATAGAATAAAGTAATTATTTATTTCCTAATACCTGTTTCTGTCAATAGTTGAGAACTTGTCATAGATTCATAATATGTGCATTTGGCTATTTGTTGTTTTAGTGACCATGGCAGTTGATAGTTGTTGTTTGGTGGATAATGTTTTTCCTGATGACAGCGCCTTTTACCCGAATTTTGAAGATCTATGAAAAATAAACAAACGCGGAACATGAAAATTAAAAAAAAAGAAATTTTTAACTAATTAAGAATTAAATTTGGAAGATGAATTGGATGTATATGTAAAATTTCAGAAATGTATTTGAACATATCTAAATTTAATTTCCCCCCTATAATCTGTAGGTTCCATGTTTACGATAATTTTATATACTAATTATTTCTTGTAGTTTACAGAAATATCTAATTATCTTCAAGAAGTTGTCATTTTGGTTTTTATCATGTTCGAAATTTCATATTTTCCATGTTCATGTACTACAAAATATATATCATACTATCGCATATTGTTTTGGTGTAACCTTAAACTATACTCTCAATAAAAATGAACATCTGTGCCTTATTTATCCCTTTCTTATGTTGTTTACACCTCACTAATTTCTGATGAAACTCGTCCACATGAGGCGTTATTTAGAGCAAATATGTATCGCGGACAAATTTTCAAAACCGTCCTATTTGGACATTTAATCTCAAAAAACGATCCATTTCGAAGTTATTTGCAAAAACCAACCTGATTTCAGCCATGACGCTGAAACCAGGTCGGTTTTTGCAAAGAAAGTTTTGAAACTGCATGGGACTTGAAGTCCCGCGAAGTTTAGCAGCAGCTGCTAAACTTCACGGGATTTGAACTCCCGTGAAGTTTCAAAGCCAATTTCCCGTGCATTTCCGACCCCCATTCCGCTCACTCCCACGTTCTCCTTCATCTCCCTCCCCAAAACAGAAAAATGTTGTCCTCTCACAGCTGAAGAGCTTTGAGGCACCGTCCAATCCTCTCTCTCTTCACCCCCCTCCACCCCCAATTAATTAACTCCGAGGGAATTAATGAAACGGAGAGAAGGCCAGGTACCTTCATTCTTCTTCTTCCCCAGATTCAACGGATCTGCTGCTGTTTTAGGCCACAGGTACCTCCATATTTGTGAAAGGGCTTTCTTGCTAACCTGGGAGCAACTCAAGCTTCTCGATTTTGTTGAACCCTCAAATTGGAGCCCTAATGCAACGGGGGGAGGGGGGATCCAATTGCAGCAACCAAATGATGAGTAGAATGATGATGGAAAATTTAAGAAATTTCTATATTTTTAGGGAAAATCCCTAACCTTGAGAGAGAGAGAAACGTACCTCTTTCCTTCAAAAGTTCTCAGAAAATCCTCCTGTATTGAGCATCAGCACATATTGCGTTTTACAATCTTTTTAAATTCGGTGGAGTTCTTCCCAATATTATGTCTCGTGTAGTTTGTGCATTTCAGAATTTTTTTTAAACTGAAGTCCCGTGAAGTTTAGCAGCTTTTAACTATCTGGTTACCTGGCTGCTAAACTTCACGGAACTTCAAGTCCCGTGAAGTTTCAGAACTTTCTTCGTAAAAACCGACCTGGTTTCAGCGACAGGGCTGAAACCAGGTCGGTTTTTGCAAATAACTTCAAAATGGGTCGTTTTTTAAGATTAAATGTCCAAATAGGACGGTTTTGAAAATTTGTCCTATGTATCGCATATCGTTTCTGAATGTATTATTTTTGTGTAGCAAGAGAAAAATAGGAGATTTTTTAACCTTTGATCCACCATCAGATTCTTCGCAAGTGACTCGTTCAGCACTCGACAATTTCAGGCTTGGAAAGACCCGAGTCTCGTAGTTCCTCTGTATGCGTTGATTTTCTCTGTTGCTTTTATAGCTTAGACTTGATTCTTATAAACTTGACGTCAGGTATTGTACTTTGTTTTTTTACTTTTTAATCTAAGGAAGCTTGCCTACGCTCTTTGCGGTGATGTGGGGAACACAATGACATGGTTCGGTCCAAACCGAAAAAACCGATCGAACCGATCCGAACCGATCCGAAAAAATCGGTTTTATGAGTAAGACGGTTCGGGTCGGTTTGAAAACTTTTCAACCCGAACCGATCCGAACCGACCGAATATAGTGCAATACAACCCATTCTGATCTTAAACCCTACACTAGCAGTGTTTAATGTTTCATAATCTCCTACTTTGTTGATATCTTTTTTTTTCTTTAACACGGTTTGTTGTTTGATAAGAAGTTTGATGAAGTTAGAACCGAACAAACCGAACCGAACCGCACCGAACCGACTTACAACAGTTCGGTTCGGTTTTGAATTATAGGCGGTTCGGTTCGGTTGTTCAAATTTTGGTAAAAACCGAACCGAACTGACCGTTGCACACCCCTAATGAATTGTTAATATGTAAGCTTACGAAAATACCACGTAGAAAAAGAGGAAATTTTCAAAACAGTCCCAGAAAGATTTTTATTTTTCAAAATCGACCCATTTTTTTTTATCAAAATCGACCCACTTTGCCACGTGTGTTTAATGAAGTTCCTAAACAGTCGGGGTTGCCAACCCTGACTGTTTAGGACATGAAAATTTCGGGTTTAAGAGTTCTAATTGGGGTTGTCAACCCCGACTGTTTAGGAACTTCATTAAGCCCACGTGGCAAAAAAGTGGGTGGATTTTGATAAATAAAAAAAGTGGGTCGATTTTAAAAATAAAATTCTTTTTGAGGCTGTTTTGAAAATTTGTTCGGTAGAAAAATCAGAAGTGTTATTACCATTCTTTAATTTAAAAATTATGTCTTTATAAATTTTAATTCACTCAGTATGTTAAATTAGATGTAAACTGTGAAAACAACATAATAAATATCTGGGAAGAGGAATTTTTCAAAACAGCCCCCAAAACTTTTTTAATTTTTAAAATCGACCCGTTTTTTTTATTTATCAAAACCGACCCACTTTTTACCACGTGGACTTAATGACGTTTTTAAACGGTTGGGGTTGTCAACCCCGACTGTTTAGGATATAAAAATTTCGGGTTTAAGGGTTCTAATTGGGGTTTAACACCCTTCTAAACAGTCGGATTGCTAACCCCGACTGTTTGAGAACTTTATTAAGCCCACGTGGTAAAAAGTGGATCGATTTTGATAAAAAAAAAATCGGGTCGATTTTGAAAAATAAAATTCTTTTTGGGGCTGTTTTGAAAATTTGTTCTATCTCGGAAGGATATCACGTCGCTGCCCTGAATCCTACTCCCCCCTCTCGCGCCTCGCTCCGACCTCCGAGAAGCTCCAAGCCGATGGCGTCTTCATCCTGCTCCTTCTCCTTCTCCTCTTCTCTCCTCAATCTCCACTCCCAACACAACAAGCCCTCGTCATCCTCCCCCTCCGCCTTCGCTTTTCGTCCGAGAAAAACCCCTCACCCTCCCTCTCGCTCTTCTTCTTCTACCTCCAGATCTCGAACCCTCACTCCGAAACGATCTTCTCCGTCGCCGCCGCAGCCGCCGCCGGCGACGCCGAGGAAGAAGCACTGGAAGGAGGGAGAGTTCCCGGGGGTCTCCGAGGGGGCTCTTCCCTCGAGAAGGGGGCCGATCAAAAATGTTAAGAAGAAGATTGAGGATCGAGCGGAGGCCAAAGCTTGGGTCCCCACTGTTACTGAAACCCTAGCTGATAAGATTCAGAGGAAACAGTGGCAGGACGCCCTCGAGGTCTGTAGAATCTCTGAATTTCCCCCTAACTTTATCCTGATTTATGCAACAGCATTCGAATTAGTGTCGCGTTATCTTGACTTTGATACCCCTAAGCTTTATTTTGATAAGTTGATATCCCAAAGTTCTCAAATTGCTGTTAATTTGACAATTTGATACCCCAAAGCCCTACCTTTGTTCCCTACTTTCCCCAAACTCAAAAAAAAAAAAGGTAAGAAAAGTTGCTTCTCATTCTTGATCAAAGCTCAGGTCAAACCTTTTTTGTACAATCTGGGTATCAAATTGACAAAATAGACCTTCAAGGTACACAGTTCAAATGAGGCTGAATGTTTAGGATAGTAAAGTGCAAATAACCCTAAAAGTTGTTAGACTATGTACTTCTTTTATGTGTGTATTAGCTTATGCAAATTTGGGTCGTCTTTTGTGACAATGTTATTCCTTTAGGTATTTGAGATGCTGAAAGAACAAATTTTCTATTACCCCAAAGTAGGCACATACGTGAAACTGCTGGTCCTTTTGGGAAAATCTGGCCAAGCAATTCGTGCACATCAACTGTTTGATGAAATGCTTGAAGCAGGAATTGAACCCACTGCAGAACTGTATACCGCCTTATTGGCAGCCTATTGTCGCTCGAATCTCCTCGACCAAGCGTACTCTATCCTCGATAAAATGAAGTCCCTGCCTTTTTGTCAGCCAGATGTATTTACATATAGCACCCTCTTAAAAGCCTGTGTTGAATCATCGCGGTTTGATTTGGTTGAGTCTTTGTACCAAGAGATGTCTGATCGAATGATAACTCCAAATACAGTGACGCAAAATACTGTTCTAGGGGGATATGGGAAAGCTGGAAAGTTCGATGAGATGGAGAAAATTCTATCAGGTATGCTTGAGAGTTCAACATGCAGACCGGATGTTTGGACAATGAACATCATTTTAGCCTTATTTGGCAACAAAGGGCAGATTGATATGATGGAGAAATGGTATGAAAAATTTCGTAGCATTGGAATTGAGCCCGAGACACAAACTTTTAACATTCTAATAGGTGCCTATGGGAAGAAAAAGATGTATGATAAAATGACCGCGGTGATGGAATATATGAGAAAGCTACAATTTCCATGGACTACCTCGACTTATAACAATGTCATTGAGGCCTTCGCAGATGTAGGGGATGCGAAAAATATGGACTATACATTTAATCAAATGCGGGCTGAAGGGATGAGAGCAGATACTAAAACTTTCTGTTGTCTTGTTGATGGGTTTAGTAATGCGGGTCTTTTCCATAAGGTTGTGAGTAGCATTCAGTTGGCTGAGAGGTTGGATGTGTCCTTTAACACATCGTTTTATAATTCGGTTCTTTCTGCATGTGCAAAGGCTGGAGATTTGATGGAGATGGAGAGAGTATTTAACCAAATGAAAGATAAGTATTATACTCCGGATTCTACTACTTATTCTATATTGGTGGAAGCATATAGAAAGGAGGGGATGAATGACAAGATTTTTTATCTGGAGCAAGAAGAACAGAAGACCTCTCAACTTGAACATGTAGGTTGATAGGCTTCTTGAATAACATGTTTGTGATTTTAGCTCTAAATCAGGGAATATTCCTGAACTGCACAAAACTGAGGGCAGAAATGATGCTTTGGAGGGAAATGACTGGTTGGTGACTGTCTATTCCAGCATACTGTTGAAAATGAGCGGGATGATGTCTTCCAACCTTAAGGAGTCGATTTTCCTTTTATAGCGGTATGTTCTCTGGAAATTTTGAGATTGACATTAGATTAAACAATTTGCTCCGTTCTGGCATTGGAACATGTATTTACTGCCCATTGATTCTTCACAACATTTAACTTGTGCATGTAAATTATTGATGTTTTCCGCCCCTTTACGACCATATTCTTAGCTTCTTCCATCCTTCCGATAACACAGTTTTTACAGTGCACTTAAGGTTACTTTTCCAGCAAACTTTTTCCATTTATGATCCTTAAATTATTCTTGTTTTAAAAACGTGCTTAATGTTCATTTTCAATTTCATATTTTTTTTACTACTATGTACATTTCACATTTTACCTCACTTTTTTCCTAACTCTCACCTGCTATTCCTTGTCAAAAGAGAATAACGCAATATGTTTGTAAGCGTTTCATTGCATCTATGTTCAACAATGATGAACCACAACCGATATAGTATTTTCAGGCAAAAGTTCTGGGATTGGTTATCCCGATTTGCAAGGTCACAAAGGGATAATATGTAGATGGTTATCACGATTTGCATGGTCACAAAGGGATAATATGTAGATAAGAATGAGAAACATGAATTTGATATAACAGTTAAAGTGCCATGCCTCCTAGATCCAATAGGGAATGGACTACACTACTCGGTGCAGTCAGTCATCGAATGTTATTCCTCCAATTGTAGAGCAATATGTCAATTTTCAAATTCTTTAGCAATCTCAAAACTAACATAAGTTAAATATGATCCTTTACTCAAGATCTTTCCACACATATATTTGAGATTTTGAGAAAAAAGTATGTCTAATTCTATAATAGCCTTATCATCGCGTGCTAAACCAAACTATCATCTACAATACATCTCATATCTTCTCATTCTCATGCTAATGTACATGTAGTATTGATATAAGGAAACACAGTGACAGTATACTTTATGCTATCGCCTTGTCTGGCAAGATTCATCTTCAAAACTTGATTCCCCTACTGTGCATGATCTGTATTTGAACTTATTCTGAAATTTAATTGGGGCGGAATGAATGATTATTCAGTAAGTAATGCATCCACTTTATAGATTCTACGTTTACAGGAAATATTGTCAGAAAAATCTGTTAAAATGATCTCAATTTGGAGATCCAAATAAAAGACGATTCGGGGGATAGCAGTAGAATTTTATATGCAATGAGTATTATCAATATAAAATAAGTTCCAAACTTCCAGTTGATGACTAAAGTAACTTTGCTGGATGTTTGTATGGGTTCACGATAAATCATGTAATTAATTCATCGTCTTTCATTGTTATTTGTTTTCACGATTATAGCCAAGGGCCAGTAACCCTGTTGGCTTCAATTAGTAGTCCAGTGACAGCACAGTAATGATCTAGTAATAGAATCTCATAAGGTCAGTAATCTCCCTGGACATCTCTAGAGGAGTCGGGGAAAATCTCTTTGGATGCCTCCAACAAGTACAACCTTCTTGAACCTCTCAAAAGGATACCATCCGAACATCTGTGAGTGGTCCTATGACATTTCATTAGTCCAATAATCTTTGCTTGCCAAGACTTTACAGTCAATACAACCCCGTCGGTTTTCTGCATTAGTCTAGTAACAGTAATGTCAAGTGGTTAAAGGCTTTACTTATAGTTATATATTCAACAATGATCTTTATAGAATTTATTAAATCAAATGATATTATATCTTTGGAAAGTAAATTTCCTTGAGTAATTTCATTCATATCAAAATCTTCGGGAGAATTAGTAAAATTCTGATATGTAGTTCTACTTTGGTAAAAATCCAATATGCAAAATACTTTAAAATTATCAATATAGTTGGTAAATAACGATAACGATCTCATGAAATCTTGTTAAAAATAATAAAGCCGAATTAATACTTATTTCATATCATCATATCATTTAGAACTGTACGTAACAACCAATGACTTGATATATTTCTTTTAGAAAGAAGCATGCCTTAGTTCATGCAAAACAGCGAGATAACTATACAAAGACCTGGAATCGAACTCGAAATCTGATAAATGACGGATACCAAAAAACTACAAGAACTAATAGATTATCAACAATTTAAATACTTTTAGAATTTAAGAAGAGGTGGATGTTATCGTCGAAAGTTGGTTTCACTGTGGAATCCATTATATTTTTGATCGCTTACAATGAATTCAAAAGAAAATAGCCTTTTTTTATAAGACCTCTCTTACACAATAAGAAGAAAATTATAACTTTCTAGAAAATAACACAGAAATCGTTTATCAACTCCTGTTTTTGTGGGATCTTTTCCTGTGCCGGGGTGCGTTAGCCCGTGGACCACCGATTCTGATTGAATCGTGAAAGTTTTTTGATGTTCTTATTCGTTTATTGAAGTAAGAATCTTAAGCGAATATCTTATCGATGTAAGATGTTCACTCTTCTAAAGATCAAGTCAGAGCTGAAGTAAGAATCTTAAGCGAATATCTTATCGATGTAAGATGTTCACTCTTCTAAAGATCAAGTCAGAGCTTAGATCTTTAGGAATCGCCAAAAGCTTCTTAAGGATGTTTGTGAAGAATGAAGACCCTCTCTCTTGCTCAAATTCACCAAAAGCTCAAGTCTCTATGTTCTAATCTGCCCTCTCCCTTTGGCCTCGTGTATAAAAAGGTATTTATAGAGATAGGGGTCCATAACTGTTGAAATGGAAGCAAAACAACTGACCAACCACGTTCTCGACCAACCACGTTCTCTTTGGGCGCAGCAGGTACCACTGTCGCGGCTGAAGAGGCAGTTCCTTGGGTGTGGC